CCCAAACATGGCACTAACCATCCAGCCTGGTTTGATGTCTTTTTGCTGTGTTAGGGGGGCTGGGTGATGTCATTGTCTTAGAAAAAACAATTGCTATTATCTTAAACATAAAAGCAGCACAAATGTTAATTTTTACGGCACAAACGTAGCACTAAAGAAACACACTGGAGTGTTTATTTGTGCCATTTGTAGGGGGTGGGCAGCTTCACTGAGCTGGCTCTGCTCACTCTTCTGAAATGAGGAATAATCCTTTTATTTTTGGGATATATGATTGAGTGAGACACATTCACAGAAATGTTTGAGCTCTGGAGTCAGGCCAAAGAGAGTAGTGAGGGTGTGCTCCCTTGCCATCACAAGTAGCATTAAGGGCAGGTTCACACCATTTTCCGGATCAGATCTGGTCTGGAAAATGGTGTGAACCTGCCCGCAGTTCCAGTGCATTCCAGACCAGAAAAAATTAGACCAGCAGTATTTTTCTGGTCTGGAATGGACTGCGCTAGTGTGAACAGTAGGCAGAAATAACGATACATTAGAATGCAATTTTGGTTCGGAAACAATCTGGTCTGGTGATGATGTGGTGTGAATGGCCCACACCACAAGCAGGAAGTAACTGTAGGCCTATCTGTAAGGTAATACAGCAAAAGGGCAGAGCTGGCCAGTCAGCTTAGTATGTGTACAATACAAAGCAGTCTTTTGGTATATGAATCTGCATCAGAAAAACTGTTTTGGACTATGGCAGGCCTAAAACAAACAGTGTGCTTTATGTCTGTCCAACAGAGGCGCAACCCTCACAATATGTATATGTCCTCCACAGGCATTGAATTAGAAAACATTACACGGACAGTTCCTTCTGATTCCTCATTTGTGCTGCTTTTATTCAAATGCAGCTTATTATATGGTGACAAGAACTATACAAAGCATTAAAGATTGCATTCCTCCTTATAAATATGTATAAATATAAAATGTTAGAACAGGCAATCCAGACACATTTTCATGAGGCAGGACATGTTGCAGAAATAAAATGTCAGATAATCACCCAGGTAACGCAGCGAGTGGGGAAACGAGCAATAAATTCTTACTATTTAGGGAAGCCGATCAGGAGACTTGACTATTCATCCATTGGGGATCAGATATAAAGAAGGGTCATGTCCTTTTCCCTCCGCTGTGAACATTTATGGTGCATGTCGTTTAGAGATGTGTCCATAACTGGGATTAACTTCCCTTTGACTCCGATCTGATCTCTGTACATGTTATGTTTAACAAAATATGTGCATTATTGAGAACGATTATATGTATATTTGGTATAATTTGTGTTCTTTGATACTGATGTAAAACAATGTCTTTGCTAAAGAACTGAACTCTGGACGCTGTGCCTAAACAAAAAGGCAGACACTGGCCACCATACTAGTTTCCATTATAAAGCTGGCCATACACCTCTAGATTATCTGCAGATGTTCTATGATCAGATGGAAAAAGTGCAACACATTCCTCCATCTATGCTAAACTGCATCTTGCTAGTCAGCCCTGCTGGCTCTCAAACCACCTGAACAATGCCTGCATCCAATCAGATTGTGTTGGTATTTTGACACCCAGCGGGACCGACCAGCAAGATGCTGAAGCTTGGCCCAGGGGGAGATTCCTCCATCCACACAGTTTAGCGTAGATGGAGGAATCTGTTGCACTTTTTCCATCTGACCATAGAAAATCTGCAGATAATTGTAAGGTGTATGGCCAGACTTACCTGTAAACTTCCTGCAGCTAACCTATCCCCCCCAATACTGACTTACCATGCCTTGTTCTGTACTATGTGAAGGCGGCCATCTTGGTAGAGGCAGAGTTTTGCTTTCTCGTGTCAGCCTCCAGCAAGTAGAACATTACCAACTTCCACTCCAAATCTCCTGAGATTAGAAGTCAGTGGCAGCAGTGCATAAAATCTCACACTGCCGCTACACAGGTAGGAGGCTGTAGCCACAGGAGAGTCTAGGCCAGTGGTGGCAAACCTTGGCACTCCAGCTGTTTTGGAACTACAAGTCCCATGAGGCATTGCAAGGCTCTGACAGCCACAGCCATAACTCCCAGAGGCAGATGCATGTTGGGATTTGTAGTTTTGGCACAGCTGGAGTGCCAAGGTTCGCCACCACTGGTCTAGGCATTTACATACCAGGAGGTGCGATGCTTTTTTTTTCAGGAGGGATTTCAGACAATAGGTAAATCTTTCAGGTTGCAGCTTTGGCACAATTAACAACTCTAGCTGTTCCCTATAACAGATCAGACCTTCACTTTTTGAGCTCAGGTCTAATTTCATAACTATCAGCTACAAATGTTAAGCAAACGTGACATATACTATTTTTTTGTATCTTGATATTATGCTCTTCTTACTATTATGGTTCCGGCGAAAGGAGTGGAGAGAACCACCTAGGACTTCCCTAGATGGAACAAGGCCGCCCCTACCAAACAGCTATGTAATAGTTTCCTCTGAAGGTCCGTTTTGAGTTGAGTAATTTGAGTAAAGGTGCCCATACACTGCACGATTCTCGTCCGAGAATTGCGGGAAATCCCGCGATCGTACGAGAATCGTGCAGTGTATGGAAGGAGTGCGACCGTTTCTACTGTACGATCAGACGTCTTCCGTCGAACAAGCAGGCTGGAAAACGTCGGGAATCGTACGATTCTCGGCGAGTTAGTGGCCTGCTTGTTCGACAACTGCCGAACGGGCCGGTGTGCGCACGCTGCAAGTTTGCAGTCATCGGAAGCCCGCCCCTCATTGCAGTCATCGCAAGCCCACCCCTCAAGGGGGCGGGCTTGCGATGATCGCAAGTATGATCTGCCTGTCCAAGCTGGGTAGATCGTACGTTTTTTTTAAAGTACTTTACAACCCTCGCAAGAGGGTTATAAAGGGTATGGCCAGCCTTACTTGTATGATACTGTCTGGGTCTGCCCAAGCTGGAAATGGGTTGCATTGATTACATAATGGAAGTCAGTTCTGCTGTGTTGAGGGACAAGTTTGAATATTCTGTGTGAGTGCTCCACTTATTCATAGGCCGTAGCTCGCAACCATGTGATGGAATAAGCATGGCTGATTGGTGGACTTTTAAGAACTTAGATACAGTATATGTATTCGTTTAGGTGAGGGGCAACTTAAAGCCGCAGTTCCTCATCAGGTCCACACCCATAAAAAGTTGTACTAAGGACTTCGGATTATGTGATACTTGAATTGCTGGTGGGTTATTGCAGGTATAAGGACACATCACTGGATGAGCTAAAGAAAAAAAGCAGTTTTCTCTGAAATGTCACATCATAAGCTTTCAGGTTAGTTTTTTGAACACTAATTAATACGAAGGACGATGATACTCACCTCCAGCACTGGCAGCTATGACATGCTAAGTAGAACAAACTTTTTTCTTTAAAAGGTCCCCTCACATCTGCATATTGCACTAACACACTGTTACAGTAGGCTGCAGCACCCCATAATGCAAAGGGTTAAAAAGGGTCAAAACGGATTTTCGAGCCATTGTCATACATTGCCAGCTAATTCATTATGAAAAGGCTGCCTTAACCTAATTAAACTGCCTGCAGAAATGTGAAGGGGGCCCAAAACCTTCCTTTTGTGCATGGATGTTTTTCACAGAGAAGGTTAATAAATCTTAATCCGAGTTATATTATTTGGACAATTTAGGGGCAAAAAGTGATTAGGGGAAATGTAAATTGATACTTCATACCATTTATTGTTTATGTGTTTAGGATAATAGTGTCCATAGACATAAGATTGCTATTTCCCAATCGCACTGGTTGGCTAGACCTGAAAATTATTACTGTGCTTGATGTATTTCAACCCTTCTATTAAATGTTCATATAAAACAATGAGCTTAAAAAGCAAACTGTTCACAGAAAAACAGTGAAGAGGCTTTATCAAAACTGGAGCAGACAAAATCTGGAGCAGCTGTGCATGGCACCCAATCAGCTTCTCACTTTCATTTTTCAAATCTTAACTGAACACAACTGAACAGAGAAGCTGATTGGTTGCCATGCACAGCTGGTCCAGATTTTGTCTGCTCCAGTTTTGATAAATTTCCCCCCACTGATTTTATACACGGTTCTGAGAAGAAGTCTCAAAACAAGACCCTTAACTGGCCCCCAAAAACAGTTGTGAAAAACACAGCTGACAGAATTTTGTTTTTTACATAATCTTGGACACATGCATCAAAATGTATGATGCCCTGATGTGCGTGCTGGTTCCTAAATGCCGGAGTGGCAAACCAGCACACACAAAATGCAGATCTTTTCCCAAAGCAAGCAACACAACGGATGGGTGTGCACAGCTTGTTAAAGGAGAACTATGGGGTCAGTGTTTTTCCCCTTAGGGTCACGAGAGGACATGCACTAGCGTCCTCCCGTGACACAAAACTCAGAATAACGCGAGCTATAGCTCGCGGTATACCGAGACCACCGCAGCTGGGACAGATCCCGACATTACTGTCGAGATCCACCCAGCTGCGTGAGTGACATCTAGCTCTGCCTATCTAGGAGGCAGAGCCAGCTGTACCCGCCCCCTCCCCCGTCCGTTCCGCCAGTCAGCGATGGAGAATCGGAGAGGGGAATCCCTGCGGCGAGCTGTGACTGACAGTCACCACTCTCTGCAATGAGATAATCGAGGTGTTCGCTCACTTCCCGATCTATTGAGCCGACGTGTGACAGTTTCATTGTCACACGTCGGCTCAAGCTATGAGGCTGAGTGAAAATCACTCGCCTCATAATTCTCCTTTAATTAATTTTCACAAGTCGATGCATTTTTCCTGGTCTGGAAGTTACAGCAAAATGCATGACAAGGCATCTGTGTGAATGAGCTATGAATGAATATTTGCACCACTACACAGAAAGCGAAACGATTTGGAATTGTATTGCAGCAAACAGTAATGTGCTTATTAGGAAGAAGTTGCAACAACATGAATTTATAACTAATGTTTGGCAGAGATCACAGTATAATAATAACAGCACACACGTTCCATCTCACCGCATTTATTTAATTACAGAACAGTATTTCAATGTGGTTTGGAATGTGTATATTCTCTATGAAGTTATACAGGGTTACAAAAAAAAAAAATATATTTATATAAGGTCCTGCCAATCCTTCTTCGTCCCTGCTTTGTGCATCCACGCCATTATCATTGGGTAGGCTATGTCATCCCTTTGCCTGCAAAAATAAGCTAAAGCATAAAACAAAAACAAAAAATCAAATATTTCAAAAAACAAAAAGACGCTTGTTGCTGACAAAAGGACACAGGTGCAGAAATGGTACTTTCTTTGAGATAGGAGCATCCCTCAATATTGGGGTGCTTGAAGGAATATGGTCTTTATTCTTGCCAAAAGGAGAACTTAAATGTATTGCCCTAAAGTAAGGAATAAAAATATTAGAAATAACAAAATGCTGGCCTCCCCTCTCTGTCAAAGGAGTGCACAGAATTTGCAGGATAGTTCAGATTTGGGATTTCTGCCTGCCTTCAAGACATACAGAAAAATCCTATAGAAGCTTCTATCCAGAATCTTGAAGATCATCTGTGGAGAATACACCACTATCGGTTATCTGGTTACAGGATCTCATATTTGTCCACAAGGAAAGCCGTCTCAGCTGAAAACCTCACAGGACTGTTCCCATCCACAAAAGTCACTTTGGTTGCCTAAAAAAGGAAGAAAAAAAAGTACCATTGGTTACAAAATGATAGACTTACCATAAATAATGCTAATAAAGTTAGTTCTGTCCCCAAGTGTGAAAATAATGACCAGTTGAACAACCGTGAACAATATAATTGAGGTCATAAATCAATGAGTATTTAAAACTGTAGGTGCCATGCGCATGACTGACGTTTAGAACAGACTTTCTGGGAGAATAAAAAGTCCACTTTTCCCCTTTTCTCACAGTCACCCCCCCCAATAATACAACAAACACTGCCTGATTCCTGATGCTTCGGTATCACCGTGCCTCCCAGTAGAGCTCCCACTGGAATGCCCACTTGCAATAGGATGGAACACATTCGCACAGTATATCAGGCATTCAGCTTACCTGGGAGGCAGGGGTAAGGCACGGTGACATCACACACTTCCCAGAAGCATTAGGAGCCAGGGCGAGGCAAGTATTTTCTTTCTGCAAACTCTACATTTAATTACTTTTCAAAGCCATATGTATTGTGGGGGGTTGTGAGTAAAGCGGACCTTACATTTTCATGGAAGGTCCTCTTTAATTACCATACTAAACCTTCTAATTATTAATTTTGTAATACAAAGAATATATTGTTGTCTGCAAATTATTTTGCAACTGATCATGGAAGGAAAGATAAAGAGCAAAGTAAATATTTAACTATATTAACTGCTGGTAAAAGCTTGAATACAATTCTGTACAGCTTCAATATTAGTAGGTTTGTTGGAAAGGCCAAAGATGTGTATCTTAGATTAGACTATGGATCTGACATACAACAATGGTACCAAACACGTTGCTCATAGCAGGCAATCCGCTTTCAAGTGTCATTTTTACAGGCAATGTTTGAAAGAAGGATGAATGAAGGATTCCGACTGCTCTCAGCAAATAAAAAGTTCTCCTTGGTACACTTGCATACATTAACCATTATGATGTTTGATTGGGTTGCCCTACTGCTTTCTGGATAACACAGAAATGCACTTAAAGAGGACAAAGCAATTTCATGTTTCACTGTTCACAGAGGTTCATCTGTCCCACTTGCCTGATCCTCTGACCTTGCTCTCTTGAGCCTCTACTGCGAACTGTGGTTTCCTCTTGCTGTACACAATGTCACTACATAGAAGTCAGCGGAAGCAAGCACAGCACATGGCGGAGGATGACACTCCTAGAAGTGAAAATTCTTCAGGTAGAGGTAGCTTTTGAACAAAGCAAAAGGATCAGATGAACGGGCAGCAGACAGGTGATTATAAAATCATCAGCTGCAACTAGTGCTCTGCTACAGAGTATTTAATGAGAGGAAGTGCTCCTAAAGTGTTGAAAAGTAAATGAGCACTTAGTCAAAAATATTGGGAAAGGCTTTTTATAAAGATCCGATAGAGGTTTTGTAAGCTTTTTCGGGAGTAGTAGTCCAATGAACACCTAGTGTATGCTTACCTGTAAAAATGTCATGTCATTGTCACATTTGTAAGAGGTCTTCAGGAAGAATAAAAAGTAAAAATGTTGGCATTTATCTACCAAGATGCCGAAGCCTTACCTGTATGCTGCAGTAGTTTTTCTTGGACACAAAGGACACGGTTACTGGGAAGAAATCATTAGGGTGACCAGCAATGCTGAATTCCAGACTTCCAGTTTTGTTTTTGCTGTCAATGACAGGAAGTGTCCACTCTAGTGTATTCCTTCGGCTGTCATGGTGATAGTCCCCATCTATGTCTCCAATCACTGGAGCCCCAACTCCTGACCTGAAATGGAGCAAGATACATCAGAATATGTTCACTTTAGTCATGTGACTGATTTTCAAATCCATTAAAAGATCTGTCACTTTTTGGAAAATGATGATCCGTATCCCTGCTGTGTTGGCTTTGTGAATGCAGCTCACAGTGATAAAAGCATCAGGTAAAAACACCATTACATACAGAGCAGGCTAAACAAAGCATGTTATCTCCCTTTGTGAAATGAGATCTGAGCTGGATAAACTCACATCCTTGAGCCCATTGTACTGCAACAGAAGCATGTCTCTTCTCAGAGAAGATCATTTTAGGAGGGAAAGAAGGAGTGAATGTATAAAAAGGAAAAAAAATGTTTCATCGACATACACACTTATCTTTGCTTATACCATTTATCCATAAGCTCATTTATATAAAAAAAGTTCAGCAATTTCCCAACATTCTTCCAACAGTCCATGTTCACACAACATCTTGCAAAAAGCAAAGCAATATATAATTCATGCATTATGATACTATATACAGGTGAAACTTGAATAATTAGAATATCGTGCAAAAGTAATTGCAGTAAGTGCTGCAAAAGGGGCCCAAACCAAGTACTGAGTACATATGCATGCTTGTACTTTTCAGAGGTCCGATATTGTTCTATGTACAATCCTTGTTTTATTGATTGCATGTAATAATCTACTTTTTTGAGGTTGTGGATTTGGGGTTCTTGGGGTTTTCATGAGCTGTAAGCCATAATCATCACAATTATGACAAATCACGGCTTGAATTATCTTGCTTTGCATGTAATGAGTCTATCTCATATATTAGTTTCACCTTTTAAGTTGCATTAGTGACATAAATGAACTTTGCACGATATTCTAATTATTCGAGTTTCACCTGTATAAGCTGGCCTTATCGCATTTCCTGTCTGCAGCCACTGGAGGACAGTCATAATGGAGTTTAGTGGAGGATACAGATTGCTGTTAGGAGGGAGTCTGTGCACGTCCTATGCCAACTTTAGTTCTACCCATATGACATGTATATTAAAAACACATTATTTCCTTTACTCGACGCGGAACATGGATGGTCATTTTCCCTCTTAATCTAATCCATAGATATTCACTTCATTAGGTATGCACTGCCCTCTTTTGCACAGATCTCATTGATCAGACCTCTCCAGCTAATCACATGAGCCTAGATACTTGTAGTTTCATATAAATCAATGCTGGAAACCTCGGATTAGTGTTCACATATTTCTGTCAATAGGTTTGACGGCACCACAAGACTACCATACCAGCAGTTGCAGAACTAAGTCTTACCCAGGGTCTATTGACATTCACCTAACACAGTTACAGTTACCACTATTTGGTTCTCTGAAGAGCAACCTGTGTCAATAGCTCACTCTTTATGTCCAAATCCTATCCCTTGCGTCTTCTCCTCTCTAAAGCTTCAAAAAAACAGTGGGCCTGATGAGCTTCTTTTCTGTCCTCATAGAACAGCAGGTCTTAGCATGCTTTATTACCATATCTCCTGCCTTGGTACTAGTACAAGTTCCATTATGCCCTTACGATGTCAGTCTCATCTCTGTAGAACTGAAAGTCCTTATTTACTATACAAGTCTCTCAAACATCTGTAGAACTACAAGTCAAATGTCAGCAGCTTAATTGACAATTTGCCTCAATTACATTTCTCCTATTTGTACTGCTTCAAGTTTCTGTATTCTCCATGGTAGCCTCTCCTCTACAGAATACAGCGCCTACAGAATTATGCATTTTGGCATACACACTGATGACTCTCTTTTGAATTTTATGTCCCAATATGCCCACTACTGTCAAGTCAATCTCTGCAGCACTACAATGTCTCATACCTCCCATAAAAATGTTAGATCTTACTAGCAATATAGCATGCAGAGAGTATAGAACTTGCATAGTGCAGGCTTTAGGATGAGGAGCTCTATGAAATCTGGTTGCAGTGGATTAGAGAGTTTCCTTTGGACTTTAATATTGTGTTTCACTTCCGGTCAGAAAGTTGCTCTTTAAAAGTTTTAGCGTTTACAGCGTATATTATCAATTAAATGCAGTGTGATTTCTCACTGTATATTTCCTCAATCTTACAGACGGGTTAAAATAAAATTAAAACCTGTAGTGGAACCTATTTTAAAAGAGTATTCCTATGCTGTACAGCAAGTTAAAGTAGTAGGAATAATATGTTAATATACCGCAGCTGTAAAGGCAATGAGAGGGTGCAGCATTCAGTACTACTTGAAATAATATTGTTGCCCAACATCAGTTATTGCAGCACAGTTGTTTGCCAATGTGGTCATTCAAAAGGGAAAGTACAAAAGCCTGTGAGTATGGAATGCTTACAGTAAACCTTTCATGAAAGTGGTACAGAGGCTGCCATTGCGGACTTCCTTTAGAGCCTTGGTTCTCAACTGGTGGGTCGTGACCCAAAAGTGGGTCGCCGTGTGCCTTCCACTTTTCTAGGTGAGAGGCTCCTCTGCCTCCCCCTAACACAGCTCTGTCAGTTCTCATGCCAAGCAGCCATTCACAATATGCTTCCCGGCACCGAGTGACAGCTTGAGATGGGATGGGGCTATGGCCGCGAGGGAGCTCCACCCATACATGCATTGCTTCTAGTTTCCTCATGTGTCCTATAGAGGTGCCTACACCAGAGTGACATCACATTCTGGCATCTCTACAGGGCACGCAAGGGAGCTGTACAAGCAATGCACATATGGATGGATCTCCATCACAGCACAGCAGCCCACACCGGACCCCAGGCTGAGGATCCACTCCAGTTCTCATAAGGTAGGGAGAATAAGTGGACCTTTAAAAAATGTTTTAAATTTATAACATTTTGGAGTGTATATGTGTGTGTGTGTGTGTGTGTGAGATTGTGTCTGTGGTTGTGTATGCATGTCAGTGTTTTGAGGGCCCATTCACACTAGCACAGTGTGTTAATCACATAGTACCGTGCAATTAACACACTGTACCACGTAATCGCACCTACTGTGCATTTTGGTGTGAGAGGTGTGTTGCATTTCCATTCATTTGAATAGTATCCAAAATGCACCTCCCACCCACAGTTCGTACACCCGCACCGGAACACGCGGTACCCTAATGCCGTGCGTTCCATTGCAGTGCGACTTGGGTCACGACTTAATGACCAAGGACAAATGTGGGTCCTGAGGTTACACAGGTTGAGAACCACTGCTTTAGAGGATAGTTGCATGGCTTTTATTATGACTCCCTGCTTTCACACATTTCTGACCCCAAATACATATGCAGAGTAGAAGTCAGAACTGTATACTTCTTCTGGGTCAGGGACTGGCATTTTCAATGGGGGTCAGCAACAGCAGCATCCATATTTCCTAGGTTGCCTTTCATGTATAACAGAAGGGCTTAAAGTTCACATTCTATATCACTTACGGCAATGGGATTGTAATGACAACATCATTCAGTTCTAGCTTGTCCTCCTGAAGTTCATACTCTATATTTACATCACAGCCGCTTCCACTTTCTGAAGGCCAACAGTTAACTGTGAAGAAAGAAACGGTATTAATATAAGGGTTAGATTTATTTAAATTCAAGCATCATGGAATTCTGCCTAAAAGAGAATGTGTGAGAATAAAAACCATTGTTACATTTCTTAAAGATGCAGGTTGTTATCCGGATTCTGTCTTTCATCAGCCATTCTGATAGGCAAAGTTTGGCACTTCACAATAGTGGCAAAAAAACGTCTGCCCCTTCCTCCCTCCTGAATATTCTCATTGGCCAGTCAGGAAGCTTTATCATAAAACTGTGATTTCAGTCAAGATTGCCGTTAGGTACTCTGACATGAGATATTGAGTTCTGTACATCTGTATGACGATTTCAATGAGGCTTTGCTCCCCTTGCTGGATTTTTAGCTTATTCTACATCACCAAAAATGCAGCATAAGGAGTCCGAACACATCAGCATGGACAGGAATGAAGGTGGTGGAGAAAGAACTAATGACAAGGAGATCTTGCTGCCAAAGACTCGAGATGAAAAAGCATGCAAGGAAAAGCTCGCCAAACTCCACCTCCAAACCGAAATATAATATTGTACAGACTGTCACAAATGGCTAAAATCACAAGAAACTTGCAGGTTTATTTTAACTAAATTCTAATGAGTTTAGCATTCTGTCTGTCAAAATAGTAAAAAAGGTTAAAACATAATATAATTCATAAATAAATCATTGCAGAACTTACTGGTGAGAGGAATTGAAGCATCATCTGTTGTCTGCAGTCTCCATTTTAAGACACCAACATCACTATTAAGGGGGAAAGATTTTTCTGGGTTTTTCAGCCCAATGATAGAATCTGATGTAAAAAGTTTTTTGTCCACATTGGGATGGGTCTATGGAAAAAAAAGAGAATTAGTTATGAGTTATAAAATATATATAATCATAGTGTATACCTCGACAAATCCTTCTGTCAGGCCGGGTCATGTGAACCATGTTAGGTATACACCGAGTGGCCAGATTATTATGACCACCTGACGTTTTTAGGCTAATTAGCTATAATTTTGCGTTGAAGTTGCTAGAGGGCCAGACCATTATAAATAGGGAAGCAGGTTGTTTACCACGACAGTAGAAGTGATTTGTTTCTGAAGATATGGGTATACAACGCGATTGAACAGCCTTTGAACGTGGGATGATTGTTGGCGCTCGGAGCCATGGAGCGAGTATCAGCAAAACAGCAGAATGCGTTAAATGTTCAAGAGCAGCTGTTGTTAAAGTGTTTAAAGGCTGAACTGTCAGCCGAAAATCTGGGTCTGAACGTGCGAATTGTGGCCGTCAGCGACTAGTCAATGTTAGGGCAGAACGGAGAGTGGCAAGACAACAGAAGGGCAACAGTGCATCAAATGACTGCAGATCTTAATCAGGGATCCTCTCAAATGATCTCTGAACGCACCACTGTTCGCCGTACACTGCATCGTATGGGATATGGAAGCCGAAGGCCTGTTCCAACACCTTTGCTGTCTGCAATTAACAAGATAAAACATCTCCAATTCGCACTGGAACACAAGGATTGGTCAATTGAACACAGGCATTGGAAAAAAGTCATGTGGTCCGATGAATCACGTTTCCAGTAGCATCACGCAGATGGCAGAGTGAGAATTTGGCAGGAACAGCATGAAAGCATGCACCCCACATGCATGAGTACAACCCTTCAAGCTGGTGGAGGCAGTGTTATGGTTTGGGGCATGTTTTCCTGGCATGATTTGGGCCCTCTAATTTGTGTGGAACAACGTCTGAATAGCACAACATACCAAAGTATCGTTGCTGATCAAGTTCATCCTATCATGTTGATGGCGTATCCCAATGGAGATGGCTTCTTCCAACAAGACAATGCGCCATGCCACGGTGCTAGTATTGTGCAGGAGTGGTTTCAAGAACACGAGAGAGACTTTACCTTGCTTAGGTGGCCCCCACAATCACCAGATCTCAATCCAATTGAGCATTTGTGGGACAAAGTTGAAAGAGCCATCAGGCAGCTGGTCCCACAACCATCAAATCTCACAGAACTGGACAGTGCTATTCATCAGGCCTCGTGTCAGTTTCCTCGTATCACCTTTCAACATCTCGTGGAGTCAATGCCAAGAAGAATCGCCGCAGTATTGAAGGCAAAAGGTGGCCCAACAAAGTACTGATGGGGTGGTCATAATAATCTGGCCACTCAGTGTATTTTTCATTCACGTTTTATTAACATTGCTTGAGCCTGCAATACAATTTTCCACCAAGCTGCACTCCGGTTCCCATTGTAATGGATGGCACTAGTCTAAGAGTTACAGCTTCAGTGGTAACATGACAGGACCTGTTGCTTTGTTTTGTCAATAAATACATACGTACACATAGCTAAAGTAGGTTTGTACTGCACTGCATACAGCCGTGGCCTATTTATAAAACACAAACACTGGTAAGAATCACTCCCAACTGGTTTTTAGATGTCTAGTACGTTAAAAAGAGGACAAGAAAAAAAGAAAAATGGACCTACCACACCTCTTGGGGAGACTGTCATTTATAATACCAGCTCTTCCCTGAGACTCACCTGGAGCTGCACACCTTTCTTGTCTTCATTATCAACATGCACACGGATCCTTCCAAATTTTTCATCAGTCACTCTGAGCATAATGAGACCGTGGACTTCCATGTTCTGCAGACCGCCATCTCTGCTGCAGGTTAAGGTTATTTTCTCTTCAATCTTCATATGAATGCTACAATTTAAGATTAATATACCTGTTAAATAAAACTGAAGAACTCTGTTGTCTTGGAGGTTTAATCAAGTCAGTGAAAACGGGTGACACCGGAAATGAGCTCTGCCACAAGGGAACAAGCAAGTACTGACCTTTCTATGTGGGTTGGTGGAGGAAGGACTTTTGATGCTTCTGGTTGTCTCTTTCCAGCAGATGAAGTAACAGTTTCGCCTTCAGATTTCAATTTGTCCACAAAGTTATCTACTTCTTTTCCTTTAGCCCCAAGTTTTAATGCTTTGTTGGAGCCAGATGGTCTAAAATGACACAACAACATTACATAAATGGCACAAAGTCATTTAATAATAGATAGAAAGATATTAACTACCTCCTCCTTACCATCTTGTCTTGAATTGTATTGTGATTGTAATGTCTTCCTTAGATTGTTAAGTTCTGCGCAAACTGTTGGCGCTATATAAATACTATGTAATAATAATAATAACTACCATCTACCAAACTTGGTGCCAATTATTATAGATTAAACTGTAAACAAGGCAAAAAGTTAATTTTACAAATAAGTGTGGAAGGGTTAGCAACCTTGTTCGGTATTTATTGCATCCCCAGTGGGGAGTTTTACCCCATTTGTCTTGGTGACCACTGTCACTGGGACTAAAAAGGGAGTGAATATAAAAAATGAAGAGATGTCACCGGAACAGTAATAGAGGAGAAAAATGGCAATGAAAATTAAATATTACCTGGTTGATACAGGAGCAGTCTTTGTTTTCTCTGATTCAATAATGTTCTCTGTTATCAAGGCTGCTGCATTACTGGAAATAGATGAAGAGCCAGAACTTCCGAACCCTCCGAATCCCGGAGCTTTCTTACCCTGACGCTCAGCATCCCTCCTAGCCTGCTGTAGCTCTTTTGCTTTACGTCTCATCTCAGCCTTTGCCTCTCGTTCCTGGGTCTGTGACAAAAAAAATAAAATAAAAAATTAGACCATTTCATCCCAAAAAGAAATGCACAATTCAGAAGCTATGTGATTCCATTAAAAATAAAATGGTGGTGTCGCTGGCTTCCTGACATCCATGTGCGTTTATAAAGCTTTCAAAGCAAACAGCAATATTTTTCACTTTTGAAAGCAAGTTCTAAGCAGAATGTATTATGACTGTATGCACTTTAGCTGGCAGTATCCATGTATAATCCTGGAAAGGTTACATTACACCAAGCGGTCAAAACCAGCTCTTCAACTTAAAAGCAGAAATTAAAAATCAGGGGTTTTCAGTTCCTTTATTAAAGCAGAAGTGGGAATTGGGGGTAATGGTCTCAGCTCCCTTAATAAAGCAGAAGGTGGGGAATGGGGATGAAATAATATAATGCACCCATAGATATGTACTGCATATAGAAAAGTATAGACAAAGTACAATGTAAATATGAAAAAGGAGGCCCTAGCCTCATGGATCTAGTGATCCACCACCTAGTCGCATGGAGACCTCCCAGGTCAAGGACTGAAGAAGACCTAATCAAAAAAGTAGAAGTATGGGTATGTCGTGGTTGTGAGTGCTAATCCAGTTGTTGGAAATGGAAAGTGTGGAAAGGAAGTGGCGAGCAGAGTCAGTGTGAAAAAGATGTGAGGGAAATTAAAAAGGTAGCAAAGCAGACAAAGAGCTAGCAATGTGTGGAGACAAAAAAAAGCCAGCGGGCATAGAGGGGAAAGGGAGAGAAGGGAAAGTGGAAAAGGGAAAGCTTGGGACATAGGTGCTGCCACACCCATAAAGAAACAATTGATGCTTCAGTACAGAGACCCCTCAGATGGTCATACTCCTTTGAGGCTGGGAACAACATCCAGGTGTACAAAGTATTGAAAAACTTTAGTTTTGTACCTCTAAGAGAGCTAGTCAGGTCCTCCATGAGTCTAATGTTGTTGAGCTTCCGAAACCACAGCCGGAGAGAAGGAGAGGAAGTCTGTTTCCGCAAGGAAGAGATTCAAGTTCGGGTCACATTATCCATGTGCATAAGTACTGTATAGAAGATGTGTAAGTCTTGATAGAGAGCTTCTTATGATGAAACAGGAAAGAGGCTGGGTCCTCAGGAATGAGAATGTCTGAAAATTGCTGCATGGCCTCCCGGCCCAGCCACAGAGACTAGAGAGGGCTGGAGAGGAGCAGAAGATATGAACCACTCCTCCAACAGCAATCTGCAGAGTCAGGATATATGGTATGAAGAGCATAAGGAGTTCTGTACAAGTGGGCAAGTATGTTATAACCTAATTCCTGAAATGTGTTACAGATGGGAAGATTTAAGGGACAATATGAGAAGTCTCTGTCTCTCTCTCTCCTGGAGCAAAGGGTTGACCAAGATCCACCTCCCATTAGTCAAGAAAGTGCAAATGAGCAGTAGCATCAGCCACCAGCAAGAGAGAACAGAGGGAGAGAGCCCTGGATGTAGGGTTTGAAGCGAAGAGGTGGGCCAACTGTCGCCACTTCCAGAAGCCCAACCTCCCCCAAAATGGGGTTGGAAGACAGTCCCGAAAAGGAAAACCAGGAGGACCGGATACCAAAATGGGTGGCTCTATACTTGTTCTGTGACCCAAGTCACGCAAAAACCAGGTTGTCAAGACCAGGGGGGAACTCTTAGTTTCCAATGATGGGAAAGAGATGGGAAAGAGAGGGGACAGTTGTGGGGAAACATGTTTAGTCTGATATGCTATACAGGCAAATTTCCATGTGGGTCCTATAGTCAGGGGTGTCTGGAGAGATCTGGGAACAGACTTAGAACCCCAGGGATTGGAGTGGTATAGAAAGATTCGTTGCGGGGACCTGGGCTTCCTTGCACCAAGAATTCGAGCAAGGTGGGTAGCCAGGTAGTGGAGTGATATCTGGGACCACCAAGCTGCCATCACATTTTCGTCTGCGAAGGATACTATGCCTGATCATGGACGGATTGCCAGACCAAATGAAATTTAAAGAAAGAGAACTGAACCGGAGAGAAGAAAGCCTGGAGGTATTAAAGGTCGACAATGCTTATAAAGTATATAAAAAGCTTAGGAGAACATTTTATTTCAGAACTTTGATTCTACCAGTCCAAGAGAACGCAAGTTGTGACCAACATTGTAGGTCATTTTGAATGCCCTGCAAAAATGGAGGCAAGTTGATAACATAGGTCTGAGAGACATTGTTGGGTAGATGAATACCCAGACACTTTATAGAAGGAGAAGCCCACTTAAATGGAAAATAACGTTGTAGCCTAGCATGGTGGAGGGTGAAAGAAAAGGTTAAGAGCCTCCGATTTTTGAGTGTTAATGATATGGATGTCAGATAGCTCAATGTAGGTTTGAAATTCCACAAGGAAATTCGGGAATGAGATATCCGGAGAGGAAAGGATAGTCTGCAAAAGCTGCGATTGTATGTTGTTGAGAGGTCTTAGCAACCTCAAGGCCTGGTTCACACCTGCGCGTCCTGGGAATGTGTGTTTGCTGGGCGGCCCCATTGATTTCAATGGGGTCAAATATGTGCGGCAAACAGGCTCCTGCACTATGGTATGCGACATGCGGGACGCATTTTTTGTGCCGCGTTTGCACGTCAGACTGCGGCGCAAAACTGCGCGACTTGCCAGCCGTGTTTGGGGTGCCATCAAAAATGAATGGCACTGCAAGCGTGTTTCCGCTTGCAGTGCCAACTTTTACTAACAGACATTTAACAGAATGGGTTTTATAGGTCCTAAGTTCTGGAAGACATGTTGTAGAAGCAAAACAAAACCCTAATGAGACATTAATACTCAGTGTGGGGAAGAAGTCCATTAATTACTCCAGCTATCAATTCTTATATCTGGATTACATTTTTATTAACAAAAAAGGGCATTTGATCCATAGTAAATTATATTTATAATTGAGGCCATAGCAATGCTACTCAGTAAGGACTACAAGTTCCACAAGCACATCCCTTTAGCTTTTAGCTATAGGGGAGACAAAAGGACTCTCAGTAAAGAGCAGCTCTTTGTATTAAATCAACCATTTTCTACCCAGCGACAGCCTAGTAATATTGCTAATTAAAAGGTTAGAGACATGAAAGGCAGCTTTATTCCGCTTTATAGCAGCTGAAATGTAACAAAATAAAAAAGGTTCTGAAGACAACAAAAGAACTACAATGTGGTTAGCCCTAAGTTTTTATCACCTGCAGATCTACAAAAAAAAAATTATTAAAACTACATTCCATGTAAAGATATAAAGCTATGTGTACTGAGTATTTGGGAGGATTAAAAGCTGTCTATTAGAAACATTTCCCATTTTTCGATGGACTAGATAAGGCTGAATCCCGCTCTTCTTTTCTTGGTTGCAACTGAACAGTGAATCTGTACTTCTAATATACAAAGTTTCATAATATCCTTTTATTCTGATGACAGTTTGGTATATTTGGCATACTTTGAATGAGGCCTTCCTGAATTTCTGACACTGATACTATTCATGGTTTTGATTAAATTGGTCCAGTATTCTCTCCTACAGCCATAGTTATCAATGCCATCCTCACATCCTTTAAATGTATTCAAGTCTTTTAAAGGATAACTGCACCCCAGATGCATACTTACCTCAATTCCAGAGCCACAATGCTGACATGTGCAGTGAAAATCTTTTCGTCACTGGCCCCTTGGAAGCCAATCTGGATCAATTGTGCAGGTACAGCCAGAGGCAAGAAGATTTTGGCTACAGATGTCAACATTGTGGCAAGCAGGAGCCCTGCAATTAAAAGGAGAACTATGGGGCACGTGTTTTTCCCCATCGTTCTACTCAGAGTCACAGGAGGACAAACTAGCATCCTCCCGTTACCCAAAGTCAGCGCTGGAGGATTGGAGCGGGGAGAATCCCTGCAAGGAGCCGTGAGTAATAGTCACAGCTCTCTGCAAGGACAGGATCGAAAAGTGTGCGAGCAACGGTATGTGTTCGCTCACTTCCTGATCTATTGAGCCGATGTGAGACAGTTTCATTGTCACACGGTCGGCTCGAACTATGAGGATGAGTGAAAATCACTCGCCTCATAATTCTCCTTTAAGGTAGTTATGAATATGGTGTTGGGGGGGCTTCGTGAGAAGCAGAAGCACCACACAGTGAAGATTAGTATTTAGCTATGTTGCTTACATGGAGGGGCTTCAAAAACTACAGCAAAAGTGAAGCTGTCCTTTAAAAGGGAGAATTCAGACTGCAGAAGATCTAACACTTGAGTTACATCCACTAGTGGAGATAAAGTCTGCCAATTCCATGGGAAGCCAAGAATAAAATGGAATTTCTAACAGACAGGTAGTAACTATTGAGGACTGAAGGGTCTAAAGTGGGATTTTGGGTTATTAGCCTTATGACATCATGTTTGAATGAGAAGGGAAGAGTGCAAGTATAAAGCAGGTGGTTAAAGAAAGCCAGGAACGCTAAAATGGGAAAAGATTAGACATAAGATAACCAAGAAGAAGATAAAAAGAGAAGGTACAGAAATATTATACTATATCTAAGAGCCCATTCACACCAGGGCGGCTGCTGGTCAGCACGGTTTCCTCGCTGATGGGAGTTTTGTAATTGCGTTTCAGCGCTGAAATGCAATTCAAAACACCCCAAACCGCGCTGATCCATTGAAAGCTGTATGGAAACCACACTGATCAGCACGGCAAAAAAGGGTCAGGAAGGAGTTCGGACGGGAAGGGGGGGTAAACGGACGGACGGGGGTTCGGATCGCGTTCAGCCGCACTGCCCCGGTGTAAACGGGGCCTTAAAGAGAAGATAATTACCAACCACACACTGTTACCACAAAGCACAAACAGCTGTTTTTTACGTACAGATACATTGTTTCAAACACCTAATCTCACCTCTCTGACGGCTCTGAACACTTTCTCTTCATGAGAGTCCATCTCAGTGAATGTTCTGATTTGGGCCAAGTTCACATTTTCTCGATATCCCAAAGCCACGATTTCATCAAATGCAAATATTAGATCAAAACAGTGATCAGAGATTTCAGTCTCTTCCAAAGCTCGACAGTATTCGGGAATCTGTAAAAGGTTACAATGTATTACATACATTATGCAGCATTTGCGAGAGGGAAACAGTTTTGCCAATTCAATACTGCAATCAAAGAGTACTACAGAATAATAAATTGCTGTTAAATATCCCTCATTGATCTTGTACCCTTGTGTGCATAGGTCCTATCCAGCTATTGTGGATAACCATAAAAAACGCTCCATAGTGAATGGTAAACCTTGTGACTATAGTGTATTCATACGTTTTCAAAATGTACTACACTGTGGTTTAGGGACAGATCATAAAAAGCGGGGAAAGAAAAGATAAATGTTGGAGTTGTTAAAGCTAGCCATGCACCTTAGATTTCTCACAATCCCATCCATGGATGAAGAAATCTCCCGTGCCGGCTATTGGATTCAGGAGTCGGTGGGACTTGCAGATGCTGACTACCCAAACAGTAACTGACTGGATGCAGTCACTATTCAAAATGTTGCCATAAAAATGAAAAAAGGTAAACCTGTTTGGTTGCTGTGGGCCACAACTCCACTTCCTTTTCTTCAAGAAGAACTGTGGGAAAAATTACAAACCTACCCTTGGGTGGGGCTACCCTCGCAGTACAATGGTTAAAATACCCGTTTTGTCTACAGGGCTCAGATAAAGCAGTTTTACTCACTAGAATCTTGGTCACGTGGCGTTTGGCACTCACCACTCCGCTCTGGCTATGGAATGTCAGTGGGACTGAGGATCAGGTGAGTATATCTGCTTTATTTGAGCACCCAAGACAAAACGACTACTTAGCCCTTGCAGTGCAGCGGTAGCCCCACTGAAAGAGTATGTTTGTGATTTACCCGGAGTTCTTTTAGGTTTTAAGAATAAAAGTGTAGTCTAAGTCCATTTTCTTTTTTTTTTTAAATAGTTAAGCCTTAAACCCTCATGGGTCCCTCGCACAGCTATGTGCTTTACAAATGTGCATAGTGCTCTGCTGCTTTCAGGATTCCACACCAAGGCTGGCACTTAATAAATAGGATGCAAACTGCGGGCCACAGTATGCAACCTTTCAAAATATTAGGCTGGCCATACACCTATCACTTTTTGTCATTCAACCCGCGGGCTGAACAAACAAAAAAAATCCGTCAACACAAACAGCGTGTCAATCAAGAAACTCTGCTGTTTGCATCCTGACTGGCGGCACCTGTCAGAATACCAGATCAGAGGGGGCAGCTCATTGGCTGCTGGCTCTGATCGATGGAAAATATTTCAGCCGACTCCTTCGATCAGCTGATCAAGGAATGCCAGCTGAAAGAGAGCCGACAGCCCCACACACTGTGCAAATTTTGGCCGGTACATTCAAAATCAGCTAAAATTCGACCAGTGTATGGGCACCTTAACAGAGATAGATGATAGCGATATTCACTCTCCATTATAAAAGAGGCCCTTAGTTTCACAATTTCTCCAGCACGGCAATAGGTAAAAACCGGCACCTGTAAGGGGATCCGTCCATCCAATACTTTATCTGTAAGAAGGTATAAAAGCAACAAACGCTTAGCTAAGCATTTGTTTGCTGCTTTTATTCCTTCTTACAAATAAAGAATCGGATGGACGGATCCCCTTACAGGTGCCGGTTTTTTACCTATTGCTTAGTGAAGGCTCTGGTGGAAGCTGTACAATGCACCAAGGTTGCAGCAGCAGGATTGAAGACAAGAGGATAGAGCTGCTCCATGTTTATTTTTCCAGTATTGCCCCTTTCAAGAATTATTTTCTGAGAGGCATGTGGAGGCTGCCATTTCTATTTTCCAGTTGCTGTGTCTTATGGATCCTCTTGATTTAACACTTTCCATCACTGACCAAGAACAGGTATGAAGACAAGGACGCCTGGCTTTACTCTATCCTGATCTACATACTTGTTCCAGGTCAGTGACAAAGCATTGAAGATCAGCATGACAGGCAGGCAACCAGCAGTTGCAGAAGAAATAACAATGGCAGTCCATTTTCAGATTGGTTTGTAATGTACATAGATTCTAGTTTAATGTAATGACAGATTCTCAATACCTTTACTAGTGTCATTTCATGAATGCATTTACTGCTTTATAGGTAACTTTCACTTACCACTCTAGAGAAAAGTCTGAGCGTTTCAAGGTCCTCAAGGATGTTGCTATTTTTTGTGGTAATGAGAACCATGTAGAGTTTTTCCATAGGCTGGTAGACGTAGCGAACACTTTCAGTTTCCACAAAGGTGTGCTGTTTTCCAGTATTCATTAATTTTGGGAAAGCAGCCAATAGTCCCTCAATCCGTGTCCGAGTCATCTCCACAAACTGCCGTGATACTATGGCCTTACCTGCCTTCGTACAGACCGCAGCAGCCAGTAGCACCTGAAAATAAAATTGAGAAAAGTTGGCCAGCCGATACTCCCAATTTAAAAAAAAAGTTTACAAATAACTTGCTGTATATAAAAAGTAAATGAATATACTGTACATGTGGCAAACATTCCCCTAAAAACACCACTGCAATTTCTCCAAATGCCAGACCATCTGGAGAGAGAGGGTTGGCTTCCTCCAGCACCAAACATGCAAAGTTCATTATGCCGAGCACTTTACACAGCGGTAGAATTATACCAACTTCCACTGCCCACCTTGTGGCCCTTCTTAGGCCCCATTCACACTGAGCGAAACTCACCTTTGAGCGGATTTCCGCGCGGCGGGATATCGCGACTGTTGCGGGCGACGTTCCAGCAACCTTCATCGTCGGGCTGCATTCAAAAATAGAAAAATCGTGCAACATCCGCGGGAAAAAGGGTCGAGTTGAATCGACAGCGACATGGAGCTGTACATTAGAACAGCTCGATTGAATAACATTGGCCGGCGACTTCTCACGATATCGCTGGCCAAAAATGCGCGATAGCGCGCAGAAATCGCGGGATTTATCGCTTAGTGTGAATGGGGCCTTAGGGCTGGTCTCATTGCATTTCAGTTGTCTTCATCTGTGTAATGCTATTTTTCAGCTTTCACAGAGAGTATTAGGGATCCTTCCAGGTACGATCTAGATATATATTTATACTGGGGATGCACCGATACCGGTTTTTCAGTATCGAGTACCGATATTTATATTTTGGTACTCGCCGATACAGAGTACTGATACCAATACTTCCACTAGCATGGAGCTGGCTTACCGGGCAATCAAGAACCCGGGTGGCGGGTAATGACACGCTGCCCGTCTTCTTGATTGCCTGGAAAGCCCGCTCCATGCTGATTGGACAAACAGCATGGAGCCACCTTCCCGGCCAAACAGCATGGAGCCGGGCTGCAAGTCATTACTGCCGCCCAGCTTCTTGATTGGCAGGGAGGCCAGCTTCACGTTCCCCCGTGGCACTGCCGGTCAGAGGAAATCTCCCCCTGACTGGAAGTTCCGGTATCGGGGGTAAGTATCGGAGCATTTACTGAGTACTCGCTCGAATGTGTGTATATACACAGGTGAAACTCGAATAATTAGAATATCGTGCAAAAGTTCATTTATTTCACTAATGCAACTTAAAAGGTGAAACTAATATATGAGATAGACAATTCGAGTTTCACCTGTATACACACATTCAGAAAGTATTCAGACCCCCCTTCACTTTTTTCAGTGTTATGTTGCAGTCTGATACTACAGTTGTTTAAATTCTCCCCCACCCCCTCATTAATCTACACTCAGTACCACATATTGACAGAGTAAAAACAGAACTTTAGAAATGTCTGAGTTTATTAAACACAAAAAACTGAAATATCACATTGGTATAAGTATTTAGACCCTTTGCAACAACACTTGAAATTTAGCTCAGGTGCCTCCCATTTCTCTTGATCATTGCGGAGATGCGGAGATGTTTCTACACCTTGATTGGAGCCCACCTGTGGTAAATTACATTGATTGGACATGATTTGGAAAGGTGCACACCTCTCTATAGAAGGCCTCACAGCTGACAATAAGGTTGCTGAGGTCAAAAGGAACTGTCAGCAGAGGTCAAATACGTGATTATTGCAAAGGCACAGATCTGGGGAAGGCTACAAAACCATTTCCGTTGCACTGACGAGCACAGTGGCCTCCATAATTCTCAAATTGAAGAAGTTTGGCACAACCAGGAATCTTCCAAGAGCTGGTCGCCCGGCCAAACTGAAAAATTGGGGGAGAAGGGCCTTAGTAGGAGAGGTGACCAAGAACCCGATGCTCACTGACTGAGCTCCAGAGATCCTTTGTTGAGATAGAACAAGGTTCCAGAAGAACAACCATCACTGCAGCCCTCCATCGATCTGGCCTTTATGGCAGAGTGGCTAAAGGGAAGCCACTCCTCACCGCAAAACACATGAAAGTCCGCTTGGAGTTTGCAAAAAAGCACCTGAAGGACTGACTGTGAGGAACAAGATTCTCTGGTCTGACGAAACCAAGATTAAACTGTTGGGCCTTAATTCTAAACGTTATGTCTGGAGGAAACCAGGCACCGCTCATCACCTGCCCAATTCCATCCCAACAGTGAAGCACGGTGGTGGCAACATCATGCTGTGGGGGTGTTTTTCAGCACCAGGGACTGGGAGACTGGTCAGTGTTGAGGGAAAGCTGAATGGAGGAAAGTACAGAGATATCCTCAATGAAAACCTGTTTCACAGCACTCAGGACCTCAGAGTGGGCCAAAGGTTCACCTTCGAACATGAAATGATCCTAAGCATACAGCCAAGACAACACAGGAGTGGCTTAGGGACAACTCTGTAAATGTCCTAGAGTGGCCCAGCCAGAGCCCTGACTGGAACCCTATTGAACATCTCTGGAGAGACCTGAAAATGGCTGTCCAGTGTCCACCGAAGGTCCCCATCCAACATGTCTGAGCTTGAAGAATGGCAGAAAAAAAATGGCAGAAACGAAAAAAAAAAAAGTCGGCTCTATTGATCGGGAAGTGAGCAGAAACATGCAGCCAATCAGCTCACTTCCCAATCGTCTACCTGCAGTGAGCAGTGACTGTCAGTCACACCAGGGATTCCCCCTCTCCGATCCTCCAGCACTGAGTGGAGGAACGGACTGGGGAGGGAGCGGGTACAGCTGGCTCTGCCTCTAGATAGGCAGAGCCCGCTGTCACACACGCAGCTGGGTGGCTCTCCACAGCATTGTCAGGATGCGTCCCGGCTGCGGCGGTTTTAGTATATTTGACTGTGTAGCTGCAAAAGAAGTCAATGCCCAAAATTTCCCATAGGGAACATTTTAAACGCTCTTAACGCTCATCAGTTTAGTGCTAATAGTGATTGATGGCCCTAGAATTATTACTCACTCCGACGTTTGCGGCGATATTTAACATGTTAGAGTACTTGGAACACAGCGCTAGAGATAAAGTCAACAAAATATGTGTAAATATTCACAGATTGGGTTGAGTGATCAGTGGATATCAATGTATAAATTATGTGTATTCGAAACAGTCATAAAAAGTAAACGAAAAAGATGGTTTGTATCACTATGTGAACAACACAAAGTGTAGCCTAAAGGCGGTTCACCTCCTTTATTTTCATAGCTGCTTTTTGATACAAGTACAATTTAGCCATATCCAGGAGCGCAGATTTATTTTTCCGATATTTAACATGTGTAGCACAATTGTCGTTTTCCGCACGCAAGCGCACCGACACGTGATTGCGTGTGTATGTGCGTGCACGTGAGGGGCGGGGGACTTTAAAACATTTTTTTTGCCTTTTTTAAATTTATCTTGTTACTTTAATTTTTAAATACTTTTTTTTTTACACTAACCCTATTGCTATCACATAGGGGGCTAACAAGCCCCCTATGTAATAGCAGATAGGGTGTGACAGCTCCTCTTTATGGAGACATTAGGGATCATGACACCTAGCCACCCGAAAGAAGCTGAGGAAGCAGAGATCTGCTTCCTCAGCTTCATCTCCTGGCTCTAAGAGCCAGAGACTGTGTACAGTGACACCAGAGGTGATGTAATACACCTCACTTCCGGGTCCAGTGATCGGAGGAGAGATCAGCGGCTGGAAGTCCCTGAGCCGCTTCCGGGACCCGCACGGGGACAGCGGTGCCCAGGGAAGCCACGGCAGGAGGGGAGGGCGCCGCACGGTACAAACGATCCGGCGGGTGTACCGACGCCGGATAACTTGTACAATAACAGCAATCGTCTGCTGTTAAAAGCGGTACCAAGAACACGTCTGCTGCAGCGGCCGTGTTCTTGTTTTAACCACTTCTGCGGGCCGCTGTCTATAGACGTATTGCGGCCTGCAAGTGGTTAAATGAAAATATAGTTAAAATTACCAAAACTATTTTTTTGAAAAGCAGAAGACATGTAAAATAAAAAAAAGCAACATTTTAATTTGCCCACCTGCCGATCAAATTTAAATTAGTAAAAAATACACTCAAAATTTCAGCGCACACAAAAACAATATCGCCAAAATCCTATATTTTAATCCAACCCACCCCCTCACCAAGGTGAGAATGACGTGTCCCATCTCCTGAAGCCTCCTGGAATATGTGATGTGTATATCTTAGGAGGAGGCTTCAGGAGATGTCATTCCAACTTAGGTGATGGGGCGGGCTGGATTAAAAAAATAAACCCCCCAAGCGGTGGATTCGCTGGACGGGCAAGTATTAGAATTCAGGATAAAAAGGTAGGAAAAGACTTAAAAACAAATAACACAAGAGGACATTAGGGGGGTTGAGTTCCTCTAAAGCCGATACCTTACGGGATTTTGTGTAGCACACAATATTTACTGCTACAAATTTCTAATGCCAGAGATTACAGGGACTGGTAAATCACTTACAATGGATGTTGCTCCTTGATGTTTAACCCTTTCGCTGCCAAGGACGTACGTCGTACGGAGCTACAAAAGTGCTTCCAGCTGGCCAGCTCAGTATGTCGTACGGACCTGTCATTTACAGTTCTACTATAAGCTGATGGTCGCTTTAGCGACCATCAGCTTATAGTAGAACTGTTCAGCAGACTGTCCCCTTTAAATTAATAGCTGTCATCAGCGGCTCACAAGCCGCTGATGACAGTCTTTTACAAACGCTAGCAACGCAGCAGTTGAAAATCAAACCAATAGGAAAAAATTGCAGAAAATTCAAAAATGGCTTGGCCAGCTGATTTAAAAAATGTTCCGGAGGGCTTGGCAGCGAAAGGGTTAAAGGTTTCAGCTTCCCGCAAAAATCAGCTGGTCCCCCAAGCACTGGCCCCGATATTCTGTTTTAGGGTGGCTCCTTTCCCTTGCAGGGTCCTATGGAGCCACCCCTGTGTGTGCTAGTAAGCTGTATGTCCCAACAAAAACACACAGGCACAGCAAGGCAAGTCAGTCCCCTGCTCCTCTCTCCCGGCTAGTAAACGAACCGCTGCTGGAATCTACCCCCTCCTTTGTGATCTTGCACTAGACAGGAAGTTCAGGGAAGCTGAGCTCAGAGACTTGGAAGCAGCTGTTCAGAAACAGGATAATTGTAAGTGTTTGGGCAAAAATGTTAAGCAATGCTTTGCTGTTCAATGTATACGATCTGGATTCATTATTGAAAAAAAGTTTAATATTACTTTAAAGCGACATTATAGTCAAATTTTTGTTCCCCTCCCCCCAATGTTAATGTTCGCACTTACCTTAAATGATGTTTCTTAATCTTTTTCTTTCCTGATGTTTTCATCTGTCCCTCCAGCGGTGCTGCGGGTCTCCGATCCAGCGCTGACTCCTCTGTCCTTGCTGGTACTTCCTGTCCCACGGTGTCTGCATGCGGGTGCACCCAGCCATAGACTTACCTTGTGTCTCTGCTCGTCTCCCGGCCGAAAATATGAACTGCGCATGTGCCCGCCCCAAGATGCTTTGCGGCCGCCCGAGCAGTTTCGGATTTTCTGACGGGAGCACGCGGCGAAGACGGGATAAGTTTAAACCGTGTTAAAGCGGGGGTTTTTTTTTTTGCATATATCTACTGCTTGCTAGCAGTAGATATATGCAAAAAAAATGGTGGCTTTAGAAACCCTTTAATCGGCTGGTGATTTGCCACTAAGAAGCGATTTGCCGCGGCTATAAACTAAGCAAGTGCTACATCATCAGGTCGCTGTGGTCTGCTACAAATCTCTCTCCTCCAGCAATGTGAAGCTAAGCCCATAGAGCTGGATGAAGAGTGAATGTCGCCAGCAATCTTGTTGCCGACATGAAACATTGCTACAAATCTCTAAAAATGACTTGTGATTCCATAGAAAATAACTCTGCACTTCCTGTTGTGAATAAGTCCCCTGTCTGATACGTTTCTTTTTGCAGCAAATCCCTCCTTTTTAGCGATGACTAAGAAATTCATAATAATCTTCTATGGAATCGCTCATTCTTCAGTTTGAACAGCGATTTGTTGCTCAGCAATTGACATTTATCAGTGTTTTGCATCGCTAACAACAATCACTCTTCGGTCACCTCTATGGCTTCGCTACAAGTGACTGAAGGAGAATGATCTGTAACAACACATAATCCGATGCCACAGGACTAGCGATTCAACCTGTAACTTCTGATCACCAGTACCTGTTGGCGTTAGTGATGTGTACCACTGATTATTCGCTGCAAATAAATCACCAGCCTGACATCAGACATCATCAATGTTATTGATCTAGGATTCCCCCCATTGTGTCCAGAGTTCACAATCTGTTTTCACATTATTAGTGATCATTGGACCTCACTAGGAATCATCTCCTATTATTAGCAGAGGACATGACATGGCACAAGCCGGACTCGTCCAATGTAAATAAAGTGTATTACAATAAAGTGAAGGTGATATCACAGGCCTGTCACTGCACCAAGGGCCCCCCCTCCCCCGGGTCACCCTTAAGGGATGATCGCCCTCCATATATTATGGGTGGCCCGTGTCCTCTCCTGCACTCAGTGAGCAGCCCGTCACCGGGCCAGCTGACAGCCACTGACACTTCCTGCTCCGTCTGGGCCAGCTGCAGACCCGGGAGGATATCCGGTGTCCTATCCGTACTCTACAACATACACACAACGCCGAGACCCTCTCCTCACCATGTTTGCGGTTCTTTAAGCCGGTTATTACGCCTTTCCGTGCCCGTTCACTGGACTCCGACAGCCCTCCACACAATATGGCAGTCCCGGGGCCACGTCTTCAACAGGAAGATACGTAACGTCCGGGGGAAACATAGTAATGGCACGTCTGAGAGGCGGAGGCCCGGGCCGCCATGTTGGATGTGGGAAGTGCGCTCTCGTAGTGACGTGGTATTGGAGATGAAAGTTCCTAAGTCCGGATGAGGTGATTGCACCTGGACACGTAATCGCTTTATACGTTTCTGGGTGTTCACAGTATAAAACAAATAAAAAAGATGATAGATAGAAACCTTTAAGAAGGGTTAAACTGTCCAGATATGTTTATTAAAAACGACCCTGTATTCTACAAATGAAACTTGACATAGAAGCAAATTGTGAGAGAAGAATAATACATTTGCAGTTGGTGGTGACTGAAACCCACGCTCACAGGGGGCTCATTCAGAATAGTCTGCTGTGTTGAGGAGTGGCTAGACTGCACATCTGGATGCAGCAGCACTATGTGCTATGGCCGCACACAAACTGGACGATTAGCTGCAGCCATGGACTCATCCAGGGCCAGTCAGAGGCACGGGTGGGCAAACTCCGGCCCTCCAGCTGTTGTGGAACTACAGACCTATGCATTTTGTCGCTCAAAGCTAAGCTCGACAAAACGCTCAAGACAAGGAATCCCATTCATTTCTATGCAGGGCAGCCATCAGGGAGGTACGGCCGATACTCATGTAAGGGGCCCGGGCAGCCTGGGGGCCCGCCCAGGACCCTTACATGAGTATCGGCCGATGGTGAAAAACGAGGAGGCGGACGGGCCCCTGCAGCGGAGGCCTGGCCCTAGCAGAGCAGGGTCCCAGCATTGCCGCTCTATCGGCTTCGAGACAAGCTGGGGCCCCATCAGCGACGCTGCTCGTGACGTCACTTCCGGCCAGTCCAGCGGCAGAGGAGGCCTGGTGTGCAGGTAAGAGGAGCTAGGAAGGAGGGAGGGGGATGCAGCCCTGACCAGCCTACCTTAGAACCCCTTCAGAGCCCACTATAGACAGTCTCAGATGGGCTGTGCAGCATCTATGGTGGGCTCTGTAGGGTCACTTTCAGGTGAGTCTAGCGCGTCACTAAGCCCTGCGTCCAGCGGGTCACTAAGCCCTGCGTCCAGCGGGTCACTAAGCCCTGAGTGCAGCACATCACTAAGCCCTGAGTGCAGCACATCACCAAGCCCTGCGTCCAGCGGGTCACCAAGCCCTGCATCCAGCGGGTCACTCAGCCCTGCATCCAGCGGGTCACTCAGCTCTGGGTCCAGCGGGTCACTAAGCCCTCTGGTGGGGCGGGGGGCCCGGCCCAAAGCCGTGTAAGGGGCCCCAAAATTTCTGATGGCTGCACTGTTTCTATGGTCCCTGTTCACAGCTGAGCATTTTGTCACACAAAGTTTCTAACTGAGGTCTATGGGAGAAAAAAGCACTGTAGTCTGGCAGAAAGTAGCTCATGTACTTTTTCCAGTGACAGGCATTTTTCTGCTTGCGACAAAAGGTGTGAACAGGGGCCATACAAATTAATGGGATTCCTTGCCTTGAGCGTTTTGTCACGTATAGCATTGATGACAAAATGGCTAGGTGTGAACGGAGCCTAAGTAGGGTTGCCACCTGTCCGGGATTCGCCCGGACAGTTCGTTTTTTGAGTCCTGTGTCTGGGTTTCAGGCCAGCTGACACCCGGACACAAGACACTAAGTGCCGATACTGGCACTTTAAAGTTTTTGACAGATGCATCTGCCGTGGTCCTCAGCAAGCGCGGGACCTCAGGCAGCCACATCTGCCTGAAGCCACATCTTCCTGTGAGCCGCAGGCCCACGCATCCTCTCCTCCGTCTTCCAGACACCACGCTGCCTTTCTACGGACCCTTGGTGGGACACCGCATAGCCTACCTGAGACCCTACACAGCCACCTGAGAGTGCGCATAGCACACCTGAGAGTGCGCATAGCACACCTGAGATTTCACATAGCCCACCTGAGAGCACGCATAGCCCACCTGAGAGCCCGCATAGCCCACCTGAGAGTCCTCACAGCCCACCTGAGAGTGCATGCAGCTCACCTGAGAGTCCTTGCAGCCCACCTGAGAGTGTGCACAGCCCACCTGAGAGCCCACAGAGTACATCTGAGAGCCCGCATAGCCCACCTGAGAGCCCACACATCCTCCTGAGAGCCTGCACAGTCCACATGAGAGCCCGCACAGCCCACCTGAGAGCCTGTACAGTCCACATAAGAGCCCAGCCCGCACAGCCCTGGTGAGAACCCGCACAGCCCACCTGAGACCTTGGAGACATCAGGGCACCACCCTGGAACACAGAGAATGTAGCTTCATACCGGTATTATTTTGTATTCCTGTATAATGTATTGCTGGGATTTGTAGTCCTCTATAGCCAGTCTCCTTACTCCCTCCCTGGCTGCCTCACCTTGCTCTCTCTTCCATATTCCCCCCCCCCAAAAAAAAAAAGAATTGCAGCACGTGGCGCTAGAGTGTTTGGGTTTCACTTGAAGAAAAGGTGGCAACCCTAAGCCTAATAGCAAGGAACTGCACATACGATCAGTGGTCCAAAACTGGCCACGTGGCTGTTTGCACACAACATGTGCACGGGGCTAATTTTTCCACCAACAAGAATTGCAGATTCTCACCAGCGATCGTCCCAGCTCTTCTTACGGCTATGTTCTCATGGCCGACCTCTCACACTAGCAACCTGTGGCTCTTTCACCCCTCTGCTGCGGCTCCCTGTCCAGGTGTTCAGGCCTGAAATGTCACTTCTATCCGACTTTGTGAGTGGGGTGGAATGTAAGATCGCACTCACAGAGTCAGATAGAAGTGACATTGTGAGGGGTCTGGGCAGCCTGGGGGGCCTCTTACATGAGTATCAGCTGTACCAGGGGCGGCATGGCAAAGGTGACAGGGGAGGGGGTGGAGGAGGCCAGGCCCCAGCAGCTGCAGGTAAGAGGAGTTGGGAGGAGCTACAGGGAAAGGGGCCCCGGCAACCAGCCCACCTGAGGCCCTGCAGAGCCCACCATAGAGAGAGTCTCACATGGGCTGTGCAGGATCTATGGTGTGCTCTGCAGGGTCATTCTCAGGTGGGCTGTGCGGGGTCTCAGGTAAGCCCCGAGTCCAGTGCGTTACTAAGCCCAGAGTCCAGTGTGTTACTAAGCCCACATATACCTATATACATGCTATACATAGCATAAAGGTAAAAAAAAAAACAATATATGCCGTGTTATCTTCATTTTAGATATCAAAAGGGTTTTGTGGTTCCCGGTGTTTTCTTTTCTGTGAGAAAAGGGGTCCTAATGGCTCTTTGAGTGTTTAAGGTTGCTGACCCCTGCACTAGATAAAGAAAGTACTGGCTTGTAGTCCATTTTAAGATGCAGGTGTATGAATGGCAGCTTAGACCCACATGTGCAGCTGATGGATTTGAAGTGCTAGAATGCGCCAGCACAGTTTGAGGCCCTCTATAGGTGTTCCAGGCAGCGTCATTACCATGGACTACAGCACAGCAATCAGTGTATATCTGTGGCATTGCAGCCAGAGCCAGTCAGCTCAGCAAGGACAAATTGACCCAGACAGCTGTGCCACCACACTATTCAGCCAAAACCACTTTCTACATTCCCAGAGTGCTTTGCATCTCTTTACCTGCTGCTTGATGTGATGCAATCTTGATTTCTCAAGACTACGTATCCCATCATGCATTTCTTCCAGCAAGCAATGATAATGTTACATTGTTCAGATGCTGAGTTCTAGTTCAGAAAGTAAGCTCTGTGAGAGTTGTAACGTGAGGAAGTGCATATCGACAGGGCTGAGTGAAATTGTGTCAGTGCATTGATGAAGTACATTCTATGAGCATCTTCAATAAGTAAGTTTAAAAACTTCTCGATTGCTATGGTTATTAGGAGTGGGAGAGAACTTATAGAAACTCAAGATAGGGACCAAAGATGGGGGCCCCACATACTGCATCGGTTTCTCCTTCCTAGGTTAGGTTGCTATGACAACCAAAGCCATAATAAAGACTTTTTTTCATCGCACTGCAGCGGAATAGAACAGATCCCAACGCACATATACAGAATGTGAAACCGCACCTGCATGGTATTGCTCCACAACACACCAGTTTGAATACTCGGCGGGTTGTGGTGTGCTGCGCTTCCAAAAACAGTGGACAGTGGACTTTTTTTGGGTGCTAAGTTGTAATGACAGTCTATAGAAAATGTATTGGCTGCCTGAACACAATGGGGCGAATTTATCAAAACTAGAGCAAACAGAATCTGGAGCAGTTGTGCATCAGCTTCGATCTTCAGTTTGTTCAGTTAACATTTGAAAATGAAATAGAGAAGCTGATTGGTTGCCATGCACAGCTGCTCCAGGTTTTGTCTGCTCCAGCTTTGATACATTTCCCTCAGTGTGTGCCAACGCACAAAGAAAACCCCACACACGTTAACATGTGTTCTTTAATGAATTGTAAGTGTGAATGGGTTGTAACTCCCAAAATGTAGGACACAACTCAGATGTAAAAGGATGTTATAGAAATTTAGATGATCTTCGAAAAACAACTTGGAAGGAGCTCAAAGAAATGTTGAGGGAAAATTTGGGGGACTTTGGAAGAAACTCAGCTCAGAAGTGAGTTACTACACAAAGCCTTAGGTAGATACAGGTAGATAGGGATTGGTAGGGAGCCAAAGCACTTTCATAGCACTCCATGCTATGGGGGCCAAAGGCACTTGTATGTGAGACAGGAGATCCAGGGCGAGAACCACCAGCTGCCATCATTTGTCTTAAAGGAGAACTATGGGGTTAAGGCTTTTCCCCATAGTTCTCCTTAGGGTAACGGGAGGACACAAACTAGCGTCCTCTCGTCACCCTAGGCTCAGTATACCGCTGAGACGCCGCAGTGCACGCGGTATACTGAGACGCCGCAGCTGAAGCGGATCCCGACAATTATGCCGGGATCCGTCCAGCTGCGTGACTACTATCTAGAGGCAGAGACAGCTGTACCCGCCCCCTCCCCATCCGTGCCGCCAGTCAGCGCTGGTGGATCGGACCGGGGAGGGGGGAATCCAGCCCCTCCC